TTCAGATGTCCTTCCATTGATCTGCATTTTACAGCTGTGCTAAAACGCATTGGTGTGAATTGGCCCTGAAACTCTAAAAATTGATTTAGGGCACTAAATAGTGGATGCGTGTGGATTATTTTTGAAAAATAAGTATTTTGATAAGTGTCACTTTATGTCTTTAATTACATGTCGCTGTTTACTGCCAGTTCCCACCATCAAGTGCCCCAATTTGTAGTGCTCCACAGGGACACTTTTTCCTTCTGGTGACACCACAGATGCAGGGCTATTTACTCCTTCCAGTGATACCACTGATGCAGGTATAGTTTTTTCTTCCGTTGACACCAGATACACTGTGACATTTTTTCCTTTTTGTGACACCACTGATGCTGGGGCATTTATTTCCTCCTCACTGTTAGCAGTACTTTGTGGGTACAAGGACTACAGTATATATGAGCAATGAATGCAGGGAATAGGCTCAGGTTGTGTCTATTAATCCCCCTTCAAACCACAACTGTTACTCACCATTCATTGTGGTGCACTACATGCGCAAAAAAAACTTGTTTCTGCTTTCTATCCCAGAATGCCCCAGTGTTTCACAATCCTAGTCATATTCACATTATGTCACACTGTTTTGACTTTTTAACTGTAAAGCCAGGCAGTTTACCTTGATGGGTATTGTATAATTTACATACTGTTTATTCTGTTTAAATATTAATTGAAATGAGGTTAGTCACAGTAAGGGGTAGGGGGCCAAACTCATGATCTTGCATACATGCTATTGCATTCATAAAATGCCCCTGCATACAGTGTTTTCCTTTGTAGTAGCCCAAATGGCCGTTGTGGTTCAGTGGACCAGTGGCTCAGCCTGGAATTCCCCTTGTATATTTATAAGTGAGGTATGGAGTCTTTAAGTTGCTGTTGTCCAAAACAAGGCCTGCTGGCTGTATGCAGGTCGCCAGTGTTCAGTGTGCAGCCCCCTGTACTCCAGACCTGGTGGGCTTTATGCTGGGATCACTTATTAGAGGGCCACACTTGAGGACTAATATATTTACCAAGTAGCTTACCACTACTGTAAATTCTTCTGTTTTAAAGTCAGTGGCAAGAAGAAACATCAGCAAACACTGTACCATATGTGCACGTCTAGGCTACTGGCGTACTGTAATTGCTTAATTCCCAGTGTCTTCTCTCCTTATCCTGAAGGTAACAATCAGGTTTAGTAAGGTCTTTCTTTCTTTGAACAGACAACTAATAGCATGGAGTAATGGCAACCAGCTTTCAACTGCATTTAAAGTTTTCCCGTGCCTGGACTTTGGACAATAAAGGATTTACACATCTTATGAAGTAGCTAAAGACGTTCTAAGGTCACAGCATACACTTTCATTTTATAACCTCAGCATTGTAATAACAATACAAACAAAAGTTCATATAAACAATCCAATATAAGCTTACTTGGAAAATCTCTGTTCATGTTGTAAGTTCTGCCTGTCTGATGGTCATCTCTTTCCACAACTTCCTGGATTCCCAGCATGTTTTGAAGCTTTCCTTTTCCTGTTTACTTTCAGTTTCTGAGGACTACATGTTCCATGGTACCTTGCTGCAGAAGACTGCCTTCTGAACTACAGAGGTGCTGGAAGGAGGAGTGTCAGGAGGCGGAGTCAGTAGAGGAATCACTGTTTGCAGACAGCAAGGTACCATGGAGGGAATTGAAAGTAAACAGCAAAGTAGAAGCTGCAAACATGCAGAAAATCCCGAAAGTTGTGGAAAGATATGGCCAGCAGAAAGGCAGCATTTACAACATGAAAGAAGATTTTTCAAGTAAGCAATCATTGGATTGTCAAAAATAACTGTTTGTGTTGTTATTATAATGCTGTAACAATGAATCCTCAAAGATCACAACAGAGACAATAATCAGTTTCTAGTTTTTAGTTGTTTAGAAACATATGCTGAGTTTTTACATTGAAAGGCTGCCAAGTGTTCAAGATTCTTGTACAAAAGAAAGAAAGAGAAAAAAAGCAGGATTTCTGTGTCTATGTTGTGAAATTTGAAGAATAATTTATCCACAATATTTATAGCTACAGACATGAAGGAGCACTTTTTTTAAATCAGGTGTAAATTCTTTAGTGTACATGGTCTGGGAATAGGTTGTCTTTAAAAGTATGGCTGCTAAACGTACATACTGTAGGAGTATAAACATAGCATAGGAAGTATTAGCAATGTTACTACTTATCAGAAAGGGAGAAGGCTTCAATGTAATTCTAATACATAAGATATTTTAAAATGTAGTTTATATTAGTGACTAAAGATAAATATAATTAAAATGTATGTGTACATATCTTACAAGCACACTGACTGTAAGAACATATGTCACTACTGTTTCAGATGCATTCCATGTGTCGCCTAAAATTCATTTTAACTCTCTCTATCCATATGTTACTCAAATATGCATCTTGAGTTTTTACTGCATTCCCATAGGAAAAAAGCACTTCCACTGAATTTATCAGGTACTTATTCTTAAGGATATTTCTGTTGATTGCCTGAATAATTCTACACACATCTTCCTAAACCTAGTGCTCAAAATCTATTATGCAGTTTAGAGGAAAAGCTTTGGAAATTTCCCACAGGCCTAAAATATAGAGGTTAAAAGAAAAGTTTATGGGGGGGGGTTCTTACCTAGGTGGATGTATCAACAGTCTGATGCTGCTTACCCCCCGCTGGCTCTAAGATTGAGAACTGAGCAATCAAAGACCGCTGACTGCTCAGTTCTCAGTGCTTCGTGAGCAGAGTGCTGGTGACTGTCAGTCACCAGCTCTCTGCTCTGCCCACCACCCCTCAGGAGCGCTGGCCTGTGGAGGGGGCATGAGGGGCTGGCTCAGGCTCTCAGTAGATCACTGAGCCAGGTGCTGGTCCTGACATCTGGGTGGATTATGACTCTAAATTGGGATCCTTCCCAGCCTGGACCAGCTGAGTGACGTCAGCCAACAGCAGAATTTAGCCCGCTGTCAGCTGAAAACGGATCACAGAAGTGCAGAATGAACTGCACTCATGTAACCCACAGGAGAAGTACAGCCAAATGAGCTTTAGCTTTACTTCTCCTTTAATGGTCAGACTTGCAAAAAAAAATATTTCAGCGATTGGAGATTGTGTTGGTTAGTTAGATTCTTTTTCAGAATCACCCACATACTACTCTGGAGTCTTGTTCAACCTAAAAAATTTTCCTCCACCTGCCTTCTCTGTAATGCTTCCTTGCTGGATTCTGTGTGATGTGAGCAGGGGTATACTGACCATTTGGAAACTCGGGCACTGCCCGAGGGCTCGGGGTCAGTAGGGGGCCCCATGAGATGCCCCTGGTACCTTTTTCATAGACTTTTTTGAGTTTGGGCAAGGACACAGGGGCCCCATGATCCCCTATTGCCCGGGGGCCCGATGAGTTGTCAGTCCGCCTCTGGATGTGAGTATGAGGTCTCATTCACACAGGCGTACTACAGCATACACCCAATGCGAGGGTCATGTTTGCCAACACAGGGATGCACAGGTGTCCTGTGCATTCCTGTCCAGGCAGTCCCATTCGTGTCAACTGAAACACAGTCGCTGCACAGACACAGCCGCTGCTCCCAATTTGACATCCTTGCTGGCACGGGTGCCCATGTCTGTGTGCAGGGCCATGTTCTCGCACTCGCATAGCCGTCAGATTAGGAGCAGGAGCTGTGTCTGTGCAGCATGACCCCCACACGGGAGTACACTGTAGCATGCCTATATGCTGTGTTCCAGTTGACATGAATGGGACTGCCTGGACAGGGATGCATGGAACACATGTACATCCCCATGTGGGAAAACACGGCCATCACACAGGGTATACACTGTGGCTTAAGAGATTGCAACTCTTGTTGGCTGTGCAGAATTTCAAATGCTTTGGTAGCTAATACAATACATATACAGTATACAGTATATGTATTTTGACTGTGTATTAAGCTGTTTTTTCTGGACTTCTGCTCTGATTATTTTTGATTTGACATCACACAGACTCTAGCAAGGGAGCATAACATTATCATTTAGCACTGTAAAAGTGAAGTAACTTTTGTGGAACTGGGGGTTTTGATGGGATTGAAGGTATCTTACTGGTAGAATTTTTGGGAGCTATTGGAAGTCAACATGTGTGTCAACTTTCCAATACCAACCCATTACGGAAGTATCAGTTGTAGCTGCACTGGGTACTACCTGAAGTAAGAATGTCTCCCTCCAATCGAACACCTCCCCCACTTTGGGGAATAATATGTACATTTCCCACACTTTTGAAAACATTCTTGAAATCAAAGTAACAAACCTGCTTGCGGGCATGAGTGTGCTCCTCAGCTGGCATGTTGAACGTGCTCTTATACAGTGTTTTTGGCGATAAGGAAATAGTAGGCAGAAATGATTGACAGTGGCACGATGTAAAACACCAGGAAGCACATCAGGGAATGAGCCTCTTGTAGTATTTTTTCAGAGACAGGATAAGGGGCACAAGCTTGAAATGATGAGTTTTTTGTCTGGGCTGCTGAATTCATACAGATCTGAGAATACCGCTTCCGGAGTCGCCAGTAACATGGAAATTATCCAGACAGAAGCAGCTTTACCACATGTCTTCAATACCATCTGATGTTTGCAGCTCCAAAGGCTTTACTATAGCTCTGTATCTGTGAAATATTAACATGCAGTAATTACTAATCTGAAAAGGGCTTAGTGCATCCGTTCTGCAATTTTGTTAAATAGCACAGTTACAGTTTCATCATATAATGGTAAATAAGCCTTTTTTAAAATATTTATCTCAAGTTATTTAGTTATTGAGTACAAACAGAAGAAATAAAAATAAAAAATGCAGCATTTAATTGGAAAAATTAAGTACCGTATTTTTCGCTCCATAAGACGCACTTTTTTCCCCCCAAAAAAGGGGGAAAATGTCAGTGCGTCTTATGGAGCGAATATAAAGCGGCCGGTCCGGTATTTCTGCCGCCACCATGTCAGAATACCGGGCCGGCCGCTCAGCTGTTCTCTCCTGCAGGGCCTTACCTGTTCCTCGCTCCAGCGCTGCACAGTCTTCCCGCGCTGGCTTCTGTGACAGCCGGGTGCCCACTGCGCATGTGCTGCGCTTTGTGAATGATCCGGTGTCTTCTGGGACACATGACAGGTCCCAGAAGGCGCTGGGCCATTCACAAAGCGCAGCGCTTCTCGCGCATGCGCAGTGGGCACCCGGCTGTCACAGAAGCAGAGAGAAGGGCAACTCCGCGGAAGTGGGAGCGAGTACCTGTCAAATTCAGGTACCCGCTCCCCCTCCCTCCCTCCCCAAAGGTCAGCAGTCTCTGGTCATCCCCTGCACTGTCTGCAGTCTCTGGTCATCCCCTGCACTGCACTGTCTACTGTCTGCAGTCTCTGGTCATTCCCTGCACTGTCTGCAGTCTCTGGTCATTCCCTGCACTGTCTGCAGTCTCTGGTCATTCCCTGCACTGTCTGCAGTCTCTGGTCATTCCCTGCACTGTCTGCAGTCTCTGGTCATTCCCTGCACTGTCTGCAGTCTCTGGTCATTCCCTGCACTGTCTGCAGTCTCTGGTCATTCCCTGCACTGTCTGCAGTCTCTGGTCATTCCCTGCACTGTCTGCAGTCTCTGGTCATTCCCTGCACTGTCTGCAGTCTCTGGTCATTCCCTGCACTGTCTGCAGTCTCTGGTCATTCCCTGCACTGTCTGCAGTCTCTGGTCATTCCCTGCACTGTCTGCAGTCTCTGGTCATTCCCTGCACCGTCTGCAGTCTCTGGTCATTTCCTGCACTGTGTCCGCAGTCTCTGGTCATCTCCTGCACTGTGTCTGCAGTCTCTGGTCATCTCCTGCACTGTGTCTGCAGTCTCTGGTCATCTCCTGCACTGTGTCCGCAGTCTCTGGTCATCTCCTGCACTGTGTCCGCAGTCTCTGGTCATCTCCTGCACTGTGTCCGCAGTCTCTGGTCATCTCCTGCACTGTGTCCGCAGTCTCTGGTCATCTCCTGCACTGTGTCCGCAGTCTCTGGTCATTCCCTGCACTGTGTCCGCAGTCTCTGGTCATCCCCTGCACTGTGTCCGCAGTCTCTGGTCATCCCCTGCACTGTGTCCGCAGTCTCTGGTCATCCCCTGCACTGTGTCCGCAGTCTCTGGTCATCTCCTGCACTGTGTCCGCAGTCTCTGGTCATCCCCTGCACTGTGTCCGCAGTCTCTGGTCATCCCCTGCACTGTGTCCGCAGTCTCTGGTCATCCCCTGCACTGTGTCCGCAGTCTCTGGTCATCCCCTGCACTGTGTCCGCAGTCTCTGGTCATCCCCTGCACTGTGTCCGCAGTCTCTGGTCATCCCCTGCACTGTGTCCGCAGTCTCTGGTCATCTGCACTGTGTCCGCAGTCTCTGGTCATCTGCACTGTGTCCGCAGTCTCTGGTCATCTGCACTGTGTCCGCAGTCTCTGCTCATCTCCTGCACTGTCTGCAGTCCATTGGTTCAGAATATTTTTTTTTCTTGTTTTTCGCCTCTAAAACCTAGGTGCGTCTTATGGTCAGGTGCGTCTTATGGAGCGAAAAATACGGTAATCACTTTCCATTCAATGATGCCTAATAACTAAGCAAATTATTAAAATCCTATAATACACCCTTGTACCGCCAGTCTAGAAAACTGTTCAGTTTTTTTTTTTGTTTGTTTTGTTGTTTTTTTTTACAAAAAACTTGTTTTATTTTTTTGCATGTGAACTGGAATAATGTGGCATTTTATATCAATGTGGCATCATATATCAATTTCGGTTTGCTTTTATGCATAGTTAAATGTATTACCAATTTACTGAAAATGTATCCTATATAATCTAATACAAAGAATAGCAGCAGATATATTCAATTTCACTTTAGTTATTGCAGCCTTTGTTTTTTTAATACATTTAACAACCAACGGGAATTAGCAGATATTATCAATATTTTAACATCTTGACAGTTTTGCCTTTTGAGCTTAAACGCTTTCATCAAAAGCCTGCTCATGCAAACATAAGAATTTAACACCTTCCTTATCATGCCAGACGTAAATCTCTTTTGCTCACATATAAATTATAACTTTGTAGGTAAACATTATATGTACTGTACTTATTCTGCTGTTTTCTTATTGTGGTAAAATATTAAATTAACTTACACATTTGTAACTATGAAATCATGACATCTTGATTATAAAAGATCATTTACAGTGTTTTTTCATTAATAAAAAGTATTATTATAAATTGCACACTTGGTGTAATATATATATTTATATGTTTGTTATCATTCGATCTTATAGAATTTAGCGTTTCTATTGGCACTTTATTTTTTTACACAATAAAATGCCTACTACTATGTAATTTAATGATGTCTAATTAAAAAAAAGGCCCACGTATATAACTATCCATTGGAGACAAATCTGTCAGACCATGCTTTTGTAAAGAAGAAATGCATCATACTTCCTAAATTCATGTTTTATTGCTGAGTAATTAGTAGTGGAAAAGAAGCAAATCTTCAGAAAGCTGAATAGAAGCTGAACAGAGGTCTGATCACTGTAATTATTTACCATGGCTGTGCCCAGTGAAATTTTTGCTATATACTGTAATATTACTTCCAAAACATTCAAGTTAATAATTCTAGTAGTGGACTGCAGTATGTGCAAATACTTTTGTGTTGTCCTTTCACTGTACCCATGGACAAAAATAATTGTTGATTAATTTGGACATTTCTATATTAGAACATGCTCCTGATTCTCAGGGGAATAGCCAATCGGCTGTTGGATTTCTTGCTGGTAGAAGCCTGCGTCATTACACTGCCCATTATATGGACAGCCTTGGAATGGAGAAAAGAACAAGATAAGGATATGTTAGGCAATGATATATGTAGGGTCAAACAATCTTTATTTTATCAGTAAATGAATAATGTAAATATATAAATAAAATGAATCAGAAATCCCATTTAGTAAAATAAATCTATAATATTATCATTCTCAAAGTTCTTTAACCAAATAGCTATCAGTAAGAGGTAAAAGAAATAAAGGATGTCCTACCTGTCAGCACTAAGGACAGTCAGTGTAAATACAGATACCCCGACAGATGTCAGCTGTATGAAAGAGATCACCTTGCAGCCAACCCTTCCAAAAAGCCACGTGTCCACCATGTACCTGGAGGCATCCACTGGAACACATGTCAGCAGAAGAAGCAAATCTCCAAACGCAAGGCTGGTGATGAAAATATTGGGAACGGTTTGCATCGACTTGATCTTGAAAAAATACTTTGATAAGTATTGTGTTCCCTAGGAGACCAACTGAAATGATAAGAGCATATGTGATAGAAATAGTTGCCAAGACTTCCAATCCAGGGGACAAATCGACACTCTCTTCTCGGTAGAAAAGGGCACTGTCGTTCCAGGATCGGAAAGAGACAGTGCCATTGGCAACAGATGATGGCGTCTGGTTAAATGATGGAAAATTTGCAGGCATATTGTTTTCCATCATGAGAGTAAGTCTTTTTTCCTCTTAAAAGTACCTCCCGTGTAATGTGAATTTGATAAGCTGCATCATTACCGTCAGTAATGGAAATAATTCTAAAGTCGAAGTTTCACTTGATGCATTAAAATCCTCACGCGCTTCCGCTGAATGGAGAACTGTTTGCAGTACCCATCAGTCTTACAAAGTGCTTAGATCATTTCTTACAATTCAGCACTGAGAAGTGTGGGAGGTGCTGCAAATTAATACTGAATTTCCACATAGGAATCCTGGGAAATGAGTCCTCCACATATTACTGACAGTTAAATCAGTTTTTTCTTATTGGCGATTGTATAAATTTTAAGCACATTTATACAGTATCACTTAATTTTGTTAAACATTCCTGTTGTCTTTTAAACAGACATAAATAACATGCCAAAAAGCTAATATGCAAGGTTTGTTAAATTATTCATAGGTTTCGTGCTTTATTTAACCATACTAGTTATACTGTGTGGAAGATGTAGGTCACCAATTCAGGAAACAGAAGAAAGAGAAATGATGTGAACTTGTACAGAACTCAATTTTACCAAAGTGACGTATGAACAAGGGCCAGACTGGATACGACCAGATCAGGATTGATGAAAAGGTCACAACAGTCCTGGTACACACCTATGCGGTTTTCAGTGCATTTTGCAGAAATGCACTGTAGTCCATTTAACATGGTTTCCTATGGGACACATTCACATCTATGCTTTTTATTAGCAGGTGCATTTTTTGGAAGGGGTCAGGGACATTTTTGGACTTCAATGGACAGACGGCAGAAACTCATGTAGTGCATTTTTTATGTTTTTTATGCATTTTGCATTTTTAACCTGCATAACAACAAAAGCAAAAAAAACACAAAATGCGTGAAAGTCGTGTGTAAAAAAAGCTAAATGCACCACATAAAGCACTGCAGAAACGGATCAAAAGCAAATTGCATATAGATGTGAACCAGGTCTTCAACAGCATGGATTCTGGGGATGGTGAAATGTCCCATTTTACATTATATTTCATTTCTAAAATGAACACTAGAGCAAAGTTTCCCAACCTTCTTTCAGTCAAGGCAAATATTTAAATTATGGACAGTCTTGAGGTACCCCATTCTAAAATTTTAAAAACTAAACTAATAGTTTTATATAACGCAGCAGCATCCACACATGTAGGGCACCCAGCATTAAAGGTGATTTATTTGTAAGCAAATACACCTTTGCGCACTGGTACTGACCAGTATTCCAATGTTTCTCTTCTCCCTCAGTTTCTCTCACTCAGCTAATGCGACCCCCGGTGCTGACAGGGGCAAACTAGGATGCTGTGCAGGCGCCCAATGTCCTCCTTATCAACTGATAACACCATTAATTGATAGGATGCCAGTGGTTAGAAGGCTGTTATGGTGCACAATAAAAACCTGTGGCTATATATGTAACTAAAAGGCAGGCTTGATCCACCAGCTACAATTTTTTAACAATTTGGGGATTTTGCTGAGGCACCCCTGAAGAAACCTGAAGGCACTCTGGTTGAAAAAGGCTGTGCTAGAGAATGGCAAAATACATTAGTCTCACATCAAAAACTGCCACACTAGGATAAGGATAATTATTTTCTAAACAAAGTGGCAGTTATTTTTGTTTGAGTCTAATGAGATTTTAAAATTACAGTCAAATGGAAAAAAAACTAAATACTATGGCTCCCACTGCGGTCAGTTTCTCCAGGAACTGAGAGGAATGGTCCTACAGCCAGGAGAGCGCTGGAATGGTGAGAAGAGTCAGGTAAGTGTTTAGGGAAGGAGCTAGGTAGAACAGTTAGTGGGATTTTTTTTACCTTAATGTAGGGAATACATTGGAGAATAAAACATTTTGACTTTAGAACCACTTTAAGCTTGTTGACTTATTTGTTACATGTTAATTCCATACCATTAGCTAAAATTGTGTTACCCATAAAGTAAAAGGATAGACACCACAAATGATTCCAACAGTATGAGATTGTCCTAAAGATAACTGTTCTTTAATTAAAATGTTGAAGGGTCAGTCTCTGCAAAACTGATGTTTTAATTTTTGGTAGATGCTAGAGAGTTACATTACCTGAGGCCATAATCATAGGCTCCCACTCTCTCTATTGGAACGTTTAGTTATATTACAAAGAATGTAACAGGAGAAGCTAGACAACGCAAGGACAGGTGGTAACTACCGGGCAGACAGAAACAGAATCAAGAATTGTGGTGGGGAAATCGTACTGTTGGAGGATTCAAGACAAAAAAGA